TTATCATTTTTAAATAAATTAAATAAATATTTTCAAATTTCCGTCTATATAAATTTGAGAGCTTAGTAATACACGGTATAAACTCTAAAGCATTCGAAAATCTCATTCCCACCGTTACACACTTTGCAGTTAATCTAATATGCTCACCGCTAGGGCAGAAATATTGAAAAAAATCGAAAACAAAGGAGCAAAAGAAAAAGAGAGAAAAAAAAAACAACTCAAATCGTTGAGTGCTTTGCTGCTGACGCTTCAACGCTGCAAGCGGCGAAAAGAAATGCAATTTTCGGGCAAAAAGGCAAACGGCGAATGAGTGGAATACATGGCGAAAGCAGAATGTGCAAAATGATATTCGTCTAGGAGGATGATGACGCCGCCGATGCTGCTGATGTCGACCGAAGACTGCGACGTCGGCGTCGGCGTCAACGCTGCTAAAAATTGTAAAAATGTAAAATGGTAAATGGCGATGCGACCGTCGCGCTGCTTAAAATTCCAAAGCAAATTGCGGGCAACAACGCCAGCAAATGTTGTTTGTTGCCTATTTGTGGTTGTTGTTGCTGTTGTTGCCGGCAACAACATTCAGCAACATCACAAACATCAATTGACCCTTTGGTGCTTTAGGATCAAGCGTAATAATCGCTAGCATAAAAACGCTTTGCACTCTTGCGCCCAGAACGGAATGAAACAGAAGAGAACTGAACAGAACATTGGCCCATGCAAGGGACCCTAACCTGAGCTCTGCACATTGCCTGTAACTGAGAGTCAAGCGCTGAGATTGCACCCATGGCACACATGTGGCTCTGTCTCTGTCTCTGGCTCTGGCTCTGGCTCTGACTCTGACTAGCCAAATGGCCAATGGCAATGGCAGCGAATGAAGATGAATCGCCAAAGTCTCAACGCGTTTAATAAAACATTAATTTAGGCATATATCTTATATACATACATACATATGCATGCATATACATACATACATATGGAAATTTCAATCGGGCCTCCAGCGTTGCTTCTTGCTGACAAGAATATGCACACATACAAACATAAGCATGCACACACGCACATTCATTCGTGTAAAGCCTAGAAATTCTAACAGAATGACAGAGCATGCAGCTCCTAATTCTAGTCACTTAATTGCTGCGAGCCATGTATTGAGTAATTGATTTTTAAATAATTAATTAACTATAATTCCACCTTTATTTATATGAAATATATTATCAAATATTCATTTCATATAATATTGAAACTAAGGCAAAACACAGACTCAAAGCAAGTTGCATTTACGCAAATAAATCTGAAGTGATAATAACATTATAATTGAGTATTTTCTTTGAGTTCGTACCTGCTTCAATTTACACTCAATACATGTTGTTACAGTGTCTTTTGAGTTTTAGTAGAGTACATTAGTTTGTCACTTTTTGTGTGCAGCGAAGCTGTTCACTAAACACACTCATGTAAAGGTATGTACATACACATACATTATACGCATAAGTATGTATGTATGTATGTATGTACATACGCATTTGTGTGTCTGTGTTTTCTCTTGAGCCCTTCCTTTTCAATTTTTTCACTCAATTAATATAACACTTACAAATGTTGGCATAGTATTGGTGTCGGTATTTTAGCTTCTGAGTTGTTCCTCTCAAGCGTATATATATGTGTGTATGTATAACAGTTTCTTCCCTTTTAGCTCTTCCAACGCGAAATTCAGCCAATTTGAGTATAAATGAGCATATGTACATACATACATACATATGTATGTATAAATGTATGTGGATATATATTTATGTATATAAATTAAAACCATTCTTTTCTTTTTTTTTTTATTTATTAAGAACAATGACTTTCTTCAATTATTGAGATTAAAGCACTACACATATATTTTTTTTTTTTCAAATTTCACTGTGTCATTAATTTATAACCACATTGATCGCATTCTTTAATATTATTTAATTGAATCATTTTAAATGTATAAAGCAACAATTTAAGATGCACAAAAGGTAATTGATCCAACATTAAACTCAAAAAAAAAAAAAAATAATAATAATAATAATAATAACACGCGCACGCATCGATTCAATAATGGCAACTAAATTTACGCAGTTGCGTTTTCTCTTGTTGTACTTGATTTCATATTCTATTTGTTTCCTTTGCTCAAAGTACAGTTTGTTTTTTGCGCACTTACACTTCTTTTTTGGGCACTCTTTCGTTGTCTCGGAATTCAATTAATAACAGTGCTGCATAATCGACTATCGTTTCAGCTACAGAAAATTTGCAGCTAATTATGTCGCATTGGATTAACTGATTAAAAGTAATTATATTTATTGACGTGTCTAATAGAAATAAATTTTTACCTTATCGTTAAATTTACGCATTAAATTTAACAGAGTCAAATTCAATAGCTCTAAAACGATACTTGCACCAATATGCCCAGTGCGACTGCAAGTAGTGCATCGATATGGCATTTTGAGTGCTTCACATATTGCAGACAGATTTTTTTTTGCTGTTTCTTTTAAGATTTTTATTTTTATTTTTTGTTTTTGTGTAACACCCGCCTAAGGGTCAAATTTTGCACGCTGTCATGTGTGTGTGACCGTGATCCATGCAGCGGGCCAGTCCCAGACTGGCGGAACGAGTGCAACACGAACTATTTTAATGGACTTGGCATGGCACAGCCGTGGCCATGTGAGAAGAAGAAGAAGACATCTGTGGCTGTGCCACCAGACTATTCCATCTCCAATCATCTATCAGTGTGTGTATGTGTATGTGTGTGAGTGTGAGTGTGCACACGCCCGTTAATCAGCTTTGCTTGGAGGCCTTTCATCAAAGCGCAGGCGGCACCCACAACAGCAACAGCAGCAACAACAACAACAGCAACACAAAAACGAAACAGAACTGAAAAGAGATTAAGCATACGACGTGTTGTGCAGTTAACCGAACTCCTAGCAACAACTACAACAACAACAACAACAACCAAATGGTCAACTAACGGTTTGGCATGCGTTGTTGACGCTGGGACTGCTGCAAAGGCTTTTTTCACTCTGAGATTTCGACTGCGACCTGGCGGCAATTGTAATTTATGATTCGAAGCGCACGGCGTTCAAATGATCTATTGGCGCGCCGTCATTCGCCCCATTCAAGTGATTTTCTTAAGAGGCGGCTCGTTGCAGTCTTCATCATACGCTGGGCACTTGTTGCAGCGGCATTTATATATGTACATATATACATACATATATAACATAACAGTTAAAATGAATTATTACAGCGCATACGACCGCCCGACCCAACTTCAACTGTTATCAAAGTGTTATACTAGATGTGGTCAACTTGATGAATGGCTTGAATGAAGTCTATATGAGACTGGGTAGACCGCACGACTGTTATACTAGATGTTGGCAGTTGAATGATGAATGGATTACATTCAAGTGTTATAAAAGTCTTAAGCTGGATAGTAGAGATGGATAATGAATAGATTAACTCTATACATGGGCCACCTGCCCTCAAGGACCTTCAACTGTGAATGCTATGAATACAACAAGAGGATGCGTCGACTGCCCACACAAGACTGTTATAAAAGTGATATACTAGATATACAACGGAATGTTATAAACTAATTCAATCAAAAGGAGGCTGAGTAAATTGCCGTCTCGATAGGCCTGGACTGTTATAAAAGTGTTATACCAGCTGTAAGCAACCGAAAATTTCAACAGCTGTTATACTTATAATTGATATAATATACTTTGTCAATGGACTATTACTGAATGAATCGTATCAATAACAAAATGGGTGCGTATTTTTATCATTGGTAAACTTTATTCTTTACATTTACATACAATTGTTTAAAATTATGTTGTCCAATGCGACATGGATTCCACTTGAGAGTAAAAGGTAAACAATGTGCGAGCAGGCGAATTCCTAAATATTGAAATCAGTTTAGGGAATAATCGCCAATCGATATGTCGCACACACAGTTCAATACCTTTCAAGCATTACAAATACAAATTAGTATATATATATATATTTTTATATATGTGTGTGTGTAGTGTTGTGTGTAATTGAAACTGTGTATTATAGAAAATGATTTGCATTAATATATGAACTACGTAAATTTTAAACTATAAAAAACTGGCTACTTTTAGGGGGTTACGATAGCCACAAGTGCTCAATTGTTGTTGTTTTTGTTGTTGTTGTTGGTTTGTTTTGTTTGCTGTTTGTTGTCTGCAGCTCACGTAAAATGTACAAATTCGAACTGACAGCGCAAATATGTGTTTTGTGTCTGTGTCTGTGTTTGTGTTCGTGTTTGTCAATAAAAACTAGAACTATTTCTTCTTCGTCTCCATCGTTCGCTCATGGTGCTGCCGCTGTTTATGCTGTTGCTCCCGTTGCTTCTGCTGCTGCTGCTGCTTCTGTTGTTGCTGTTGTTGGTGCTGCTGCTGATGTTGTTGCTGTTGTGTGCGGCTCACGCTGCTGCTGGTGCTGCTGCTGATGCTTTGCGCTTGTGCCTTGGGCAATGACTATAATGGCGGCGGCTCATAGTGAAAGCCCGGATTATTGAATTTAAAGCGCGCGATCTCAAACTGCAGCGTCTCATAGTTGATGTCAGCCAGGCGTTTCAATTGATGCGCTATCTCCTGCGCATCCAGCCCACTCAATGCGGCTCCCAATGTGGTGGCCTGGCCATCGTGATGCATCTTTGTGTTGTGCAGGGTCGGCAACGAGGCGCCCGTCTGGATGGTTGTATAAGAGCGCGGCGCATTCTTAACTGCAAGCGAAAGATAACAACGAAAGTGTTATACAATTACAGCTCCGTTAACTGGTTAACTGTTCAGCACTCACCTTCGTAGATCACCTGATCTCGTCGTAATCGCTTTACGGGCAATTCACCGTTAATTAGCTTGGTGGTGCTGCTGCTGGCCGAGTGTATGTTGGGCGTGCACACAAACTTGACGGGATCAGCGGTTGGCTCCGCATGATCCTGATCCTCTTCCACATACGTGGAGTTGTCCACGACTATGGTGCGATAGCCACCGCCGCTTGTATTCACGGCCGTCGTGCCGCCCACAGTGGGCCCGTCGATGCCGCCGCCCGGCTCGTGCATGTTCTCATCGGTGAGATCCTCCTGATCGACATGCTCCTCCACCATTTCATCCTCATCCTCGTCATTGATGGCCTCTTCGACGGCCGCTTGCAGTTCCTTTTGGAACGAGGCCGATGTGCGTTGTCCCAGATCCTCTATATCATCCTCCTGATCATCTTTCTCCGATTTCAAATTCATCAACGTTTCCCCCGATCCGGGCACCTTACCAAACAGATTTAGAGCACGCGTCTCTAGCGATGACATCGATATATCCTTCTCGCTGGACATCAGGCTGCGTCTGTACTTGCATCGCGTCGTGTTCTTCCAGTCGTTTAGGCGCTGCAATCAACAAATATTTGCGCGTCATTCATTTGCCGCCAATAATCGCTTTGCCTACCTCCCTCACCCCACCCGTTGCTCTTTACAACATAACGGGAGACCCACACAGACCTAAGCGCGCGCACACACGTACACACACACACACACACACATGCACATACTCCCACTGAGACACAAACAGACACACTCACACGCAGCGAGTTATAAAGGGCGAAAACTCACCTTGCGCCATTCTTCGGCTGTTAGTGTCGGTCCCGATCCGCATTTGTTGAGCCTGTCGGAGAGCTCTTTCCATTTTCTCGTCAAATAATTTAGATCATAATCGCGCGGCACGCGTCCGCTGGCAAAAATTGGGTCGCTCTCCATGAGCTCGATATACATTTGATATTGCTCCGAAGAGGTTCGTTTTTTGCGCCTGTCCATTTTGCGAACCTGCGAATTGCACGATTTGCCAATAAAAATAGGTTTTTCCTCCGGGAAATACACTGCGAACACGAAAAATTAAAATCGACGCCACCAAATGCAAACAATTTTTACGCGTTATGCGTTTTTTAGTGCATTTCGTAAAGCGGTGAACAATGCTGCTCTATGCAGACTATCGATAAGCATTGTGGTAAACGCGCAATGTTGCTTTTGCTGAGCGCAATACGCTGTTCACAATGGATGCAAAACATATTGTGAATATGTAATATTTTTAAGTATTTTGAATAAATGAGTTCTATTTAAATTTCTAAATAGGTGATTTTTTTTCCCATGAAATGAAATGTGCACTGCAAAAAGCAGTATATGCTTGTATTGAAATTATGCTATCGTATGTTATCGATAGTGCATAGTGCTGCCCAGCGGCATAATAGTGCTACCAATAAACATACGGGAACTATAAAGTGAATACAGCAAATAATTTTCTGTCAACTTCAATCGTCAAAAACTTGAAAGAATCGTGAAATAGAAGAATCTAGCAAATTGTAAATTACAACGGGTAAAAGTGGCAAACGAACGCACTACATCAGTTTTAGATAAAAACGCGAGTTTATATCGCAAAAACCATGCAAAATAAGACGCATGTTAAGATTTTGGTCACTCCAATGCGAACAAAACCAGATGATAACTAAACGAGTGAGCAGACCGAGTGTAAATGTGAGTGCTAGTGCGAGTAAGACAGAACGAGTCGAGTAGAGATATCAAAAGAAGGAAAAAAAAATTCAGATTAAAACCCGAAGAAAAGTCTCGCTAATTCATTACGAATTTAGGAGAATTCGTAAATCTATACATATATATAAATCTATATTTACTATATATAAAATACTCAGTCCATGGCCGATTCACTGCTAATTGAGGAGCCTCATCCCTATATCGAGGATGTGGCTGCCTCTGTTATTGTCGAGCCCACAGCTGTAGGAGGAGGTGGTGGCCCCGGCACTTTGCCTGCTGCTGCAATGCAATTCGCAGATCTCACAGAGAGCGGCAGCGAAAGCGGCGACGATGTGAGCAGCGGTCCACATTTGCAGCCGTCGTCCCAGCAGCAGCAGCAGCAGCAACAACAAACACAACAACAACAACAGCTGCAGCAACAACAGCTGGAGCATGGCTCATCCGGACGCTCGTCACCGCCACCAAATTGTGCCATTTGCTTGTCCCGCTGCAGGCGCAAATGCTTCACCGACTCCTGCATGCATCAGTTCTGCTTCAAGTGTCTGTGCGAGTGGAGCAAGGTGAGTCATACGAGTCTTTCAATTCAACAAAAATCTAACCACCATTTCATCACAACACCCAGATCAAGGCTGAGTGCCCGCTCTGCAAGCAGCCCTTCAAGACCATCATCCACAACGTCCGCACCTTGGACGACTACGATCGCTATCCGGTGCAGTCCAACACGCCGGAGCATTCATCTGTCAGCTTTCACATTGTCAACATTAGACGACAGCGCTATCTGAACCAAGGTGTGCTGACCAATGACATCGATGCCGGTGCCACAGACGATTCACTGGACGGCCTCCTTCCACATCCCACTCGCATGCAGGGGCCCTTCAATCGCTTCGAGCCGTATCGCACAGAGTTGCTGAATTTCTATCGTCATGATCAGGATGCGGGCGGTTCGGGCTCACTAAGTCAGCTGTGGCGTCGCTATGTCTACGACAGGAAGCTCTACGCGTTGCCTGTGTGCGACAGTCTAACGGGACAGTTTCGTGAGTGGAGCGCACGCTTCTACAGGTGAGCATTGGAATAACCATAATCATATATATACACACATATATATATGTAATCCTTTCTCTTTCCTCTTTCTGCCCCTGCAGAGACAACCCCGCACAGATGCATCGCCTGATGCCCTGGATCAATCGGGATATTGTCTGCCTGTTGCGCAACTTGCCGCAGAATGTGAGCGAAGTGATGCAGCTGATGCACGACATCCTGCCCATGATCAATATACCGACCCGCACATTCCGTCGCCGCCTGACACCCTACCTGGGCGAACGCACCAATCACTTCATCCACGAGCTGTTCAATTTCGCACGCTCGCCCTACGACATGGTTGGCTATGATCGGGTGGTGCAATACTCGGCACGTGTGGCCGAGGAAGTGGAGGTGGATCTGCTCGACTTGGTGTCCGGCAATAACGAAGGCAGCGCAGCAACGGCCACTGAGGGCAACGGCGGTGGCGTCGGCGTCGGCGGCGGCGGGGATGGCGCTGTCAATGCTAGCGCTGAAGCTGTCAGCGAGTGGAGCCGCCTGCCACGCCCCTCGACTAGCGTTATCGTGACCAATCCCAGTGCAACACATTCCTTTAGCGTAACCATGGCCACCGATGGCAGCGAGCTGCCAGGGATTTCGATACGTCGCACCACCACCTCCAATGTGGGCTCCCAGACGGTGGCCATCAATCTGAGCATGCGCCGGCCGGCCAACGAGATCATCGAGATCGGCGATGATGGCGATGCGGAGGCCAATGCCGAGGTGGCCGCCATCAATGATGGCACCGGGCAGACGGGACGACGCCAGGCGGGCGCCAGTCTGCCCATCAGTGCGCACATCGAGCTGCAGAGCAGCGACTGCAGCAACAGCAGCGACGATGATGAATGCGTCTTTGTGCTGGAGCGCAAGCCGCCGCATTTGCGCACACCTGAGCTGGTTAGCCTGGACTCCAACAGTGATTCGGACGTGGTCTTTGTGGATGAGCAGAGGCCACAGACTTCGTCCTCGTCGCCTGCCAAGGCAACAGATGCTGCAGCTGGTGCGCGTGAGGCCGCCAATGCGGAGGCATCAATTGATGACAGCGTGCCCAGTGAGCTGTTCATGGGTCCCTCGACCAGCACGGGCGTCTGCTCCAACTCGCACAGCCGCTGGATGGTGGTGCGTCGCAAGGATCTGTTGCAGCGCAACGGCTTGCCCAAACGCCATGCGACACGTTCGCAGCATCGCCACAGCCAAGTGGCAGCAGCTGCCGGCGGTTTCAGCAGCAGCAGCAGCAGCGGCAGCAGCGGCGCCAACTGGATCAACAGCAGCAGCAGCAGCAGCAGCGAGGACAGCAGCGATGAGTCCAATGTGAAGTTGAGGAAGAGGCGACCAGCGCGCAAGACTAAAACGCGCAAGCGTGTGGCCCGCACCAACAGCAGCAACAAATTCAAGAACAAACGGCGACGCAAGCAGCAGCAGCAGCAGCCGGTGGAGGATGATGATGAGGATGCGGATGAGCCGCCACGATTGCGCATGCCAAGCAGGAGCAAGAGCAAGAGCAACGACAGGAACGACAACAACAACAGCAGCAGCAGCGGAGACGAAAGCAGCGATGCAGCAGGTAAATGGGAGAGAAATCAAGAGAAATTCAAATAAAATCAATAACTTAATCAAATCTCATCTCGCAGGTAACAAAGCAAAGAGGAAGCGCAAYAATGTGAGCAGCAGCAGCAACGATGAGAGCAACAGCAGCGATGATGACAGCTCGGACAATCTAAAGCTGAGCACACTCAGAGAGCACATTAAAATAGAGCTCAAGCCGCACAAGAATGAGCTGAAAGCCGAGCAGCCAGAAGAGCCAGAAGCAGAGGCAGGGGCAGAGGAGGCAGTGGAGCAGCAGCAGAACCACCACACAGCAGAGCCACTGCTGAATATAAAGAGCAGCATGCGTAAACGACGTCGCAGCTGCAACAGCAACAGCAGCCAGCTGAGTAATCTGTCCAGTCACAGCAACAGCCAGAGCGTGAATAGCAGCACCTTGGCCAGTCAGTGCAATACCATGTCCAGCTGCTCGCCCCTCAGTCTCTCACTTACCAACAATTCGGACGGGAATGCGCCGAGTCGCATGGCCATGCATTACCATAGCGCCACGTTGATTGGGCTGCCGGATGGCAGTGCGGACAGGGCGGACAGCGAGCAATCGGAGGCTACGGTAAGCTATTTGCACACCAGCACCAGCACCAGCAGCAGGCGTCAGCGGACTGTGGATGAGGAGGCGCAATTGGGCATTTATTCGGATGGCAGCAATGATGATTTTATCATTGATGTGGTGAGGGAGGCGGAGAGCAGCTTGCTGAATGAATCTGTTGAGGGAGAGCCGGAAGTGCAGCAGCAGCAGCAACAGCAGCAGCAACGGGAACAGCAAGCAGAGGCAGTTGAGCAACCAAGTGTTGCTTATGAGGAAGAGGATCACGGTGAAGACGAAGAGGAGGAGGAAGAGGACGATGACGACGAAGATGATGAGGATGAGCCTGAGCATGACCAGGAGCAGGACGATGATGCGACCGATGATGCTGAAGATGCCGAAGACTCTCCGGCACCCGACACCGAGGCCAGCGACTCGGAACTGGATGCAACGGATGCCTACTAAGACGCCTTGCCGCTTGCTAAAGCACGAACTGTGGTTTTTTTTTTAACAAGTTTTCTTTTTTAAACACTTTTATTTTTTTTTAAATTGAAATAGTTGTTCTTAACAACGCCTGTGTGACGTTCTCTTTTAAGAATCCCAATTTAAACTTGTTGACTATACCTAAAAAGAAGCAGACGAAGATGATGAAGAGAATGACTCCCGATTTATACATATATTTAGAGATTAATGTTAAACGCAGGACGAGAAAACTTTTGTAGTCTTGAGGCCGTTAATTAAGCTTAAGCTTGAGTTTTTAAGTTGTACATACACATACATATATACCTAGCTATACATACACATGTTCATTGTATTATATAAATGCATTGCTCCCATTAACCCACCCGAAAACATACACACCCATACACACACCCATACACACATCCCCTACACCCACCTCCAACACAGCTGATCGCCTCTGTTAAACCCGTACACTCCCATGAATTAATTTGTAAATGTTTGTACTTAGATAAGTCAGACGTAATTATACAAATACACATACATACATACATATGCATGTATGATCATACATATATATAAATAATCGATTTAAGCCTAGTTTTTATGTACGCTATAATCAGTGTAGCAAACTAAGCAAATGTTTCAACAAAACGCAAACGAAATCCATTATGCATATGCCAAATGCTGAGCATATCCAAAGTTTTTAAATTAATTAATCATTTTTTTTTACAATGTTGAAACATAGTTCTTCAGTAAATGCAATAATTGTATAAATTAATATATATACAGTCTTTATATACATCTGTATATATAAAGCATGGCAATAGTCTGTATTGATTTCTCAGCCGAGTTGCATATTTATTAATGATATATTATACATATATATTGACCTATTTATACATATATATGTATTTGATATATCATAAATTATTAATTATGAATTTTATTTTGTGTATAAACTGTGCACGTAGTTAATAAAACAAAACAAAAAAATATTAAACTATTGTGAATCCACTCTGATTCCTAAACACATATAAAAAAAAAAAATGTTTTGTTACTGTCAGCAAATTCTAGAATCAATATACAATATTATCTTTACCTTTAGCTTTATCTATATCAGGATCAATTGATATAAGATTATATGATTCAGAGCTATAAACAAATTGAGAATTGTTTTGTAAAATTTTGAGCAAAGGGTTAACTTTTGTTAGTTGTACGATTTTGGCCATATATTCCGTCAGT